GAGAGAGAGAGAGAGAGAGAGAGAGAGAGAGAGAGAGAGAGAGAGAGAGAGAGAGAGTCGGACGTCGTGTCGGTAGTCCGCGAAAGGGTGGACGACAAGGAGGTCGTTGTCCAGGAGACGAAGTACGAGAGGGGCAAGGAACTCGATCGAGATATGGAGTGGGTTCCCGTTGTGGAACTGCGGGAGAGTCGTACTCACTACGCACTTCTCAATGGTCTCGTCACCATTCGGATCGTAGGTGGGCTGGGGTATGATGGCGACAACAACCTCATCGAGGTTATCCTGTTCGTAAGGAAGTTGTCCGCCATCGTCTCTAACATGTGGTAGATGCCGGCACGTGATGTTGTTGGGGACGTCGTCAGGTTCCTAGTGTTGGCCCTGGCCGAAGAGCATATGGGTGCCATGCACGGGAACGCGTCGTACGTGGCGCACATGGAGCCCCCCTACGTGCGAGAGGTTACCTTCACGGGTTGGTCCAAACTTGGTTCCCGGAGGACGGCGTACGATTGTGTGGCGCAGATGGTAGACAGGAGCAGGGCAATGCATGGGCATGAGCACAGCAGTGGAACGAACGCATGCAACCAGAGACACCCTCCCAACAACGAAGACAGTTCATGTTGTCTGTTGGCGTTTGTCAATGTGTTTTGTGCAATTGCCATTCCTAGCAGTTTTGTCGGAGGTGCGTGGGTGATAACCAGTGCAACGCGACGAGGGTGTTCGTTTTCGGTCAGAGGCAGTGGGGGGGGAGAAGGTGACGTGGCATCCGTTATGCGCATGCGATGTGGCTTCATATTATGGATACATGTTGTGGAAACCATATGTCTTTAGCGTCGGTGTAGATGGAATTGTCGTCATAGCGAGTTGTTGGTCGTCGGGTTTCGTTTTCGCCCTAGGGATGTCGTGGTTTGTTTTGTAGGGGCATTTAATTGTCCAGCGGATGTCTTGTCGCTTGGTAATGTGCTGAGATGGCTTTCAGTGTCCAGACAGTGATTCGTCTACGAAGTTTTGAACTGACCTATTCGTTTTTGATGATGATGATGATGATGATGAAATCCGTCATGATGATGATGATGATGATGATGATGATGAAATCCGTAATGATGATGATGGTGATGATGATGATGATGATGATGATGATGATGATGATGATGATGATGATGATGATGATCCAGTCCTTAATGACGATGATGATGATGATGTGATGGTGACGACGTTGATGACGATGAAATCTGCAATGACGATGAAATATGTAATGACGAAGATGATGATGATGATGAAATATGTACCTTCGATGATGATGATAAAATATGTACCTTCGATGATGACGATGATGACGGTGATGACGGTGATGACGATGATGATGGTGATGATGGTCACGATGGTGTTTATGTTTTTGACGATGAAATGTGTGAAGATGATGATGATGATGATGATGATTACGACAGTTGTGATGCTGATGACGGTGATGACGATAATGACGATGATGACATCGACGACGACGCAGGCGTTCATGTTTAGGTATTGGATGACGACCTGCCGACGGTGATGACGCTGGCGTCATCATCGTCGTCATCGACATCCAACACATCATCATGAATTTCTGCTTTGTTGACACTGTCATCATTGTTGTGATCGTCATGACCGCCATCACCATCACGACCATCATCATCATCATCATCATCATCATCATCATCATCATCATCATCATCATCATCACGATCATGACCAGAATCGTCGTCATCATCATCATCATCATCATCATCATCATCATCATCATCATCACCATCATCATCATCATCATCACCATCATCATGATCATGACCAGAATCGTCGTCATCACATCATCATCATCATCATCATCATCATCACGACCATAATGTGTGTGTGTGCGCGCGCGTATGATACTTGTTTGATTGATTTGATGCATCCAGCAGGACTTGAACCTGTCTCTTATACACATCTAGATGTGTATAAGAGACAGGTGTGTGTGTGTAATGTGTGTGTGTGCGCGCGCGTATGATACTTGTTTGATTGATTTGATGCATCCAGCAGGACTTGAACCCGTGAATTCTCCAATTACGAGAGAGAGAGAGAGCAGGAGCTAGGGGAGGGGTGCTGTTTTGCACAGAATAGTCATGGGACGCTGGGCCCTGTTCCCAGCAGGTGAGGACCCCCACAACTCTCAGAAATCTTCAGTACTCTTCAAGTATTCTTCTATAACTCTCAAAAGATTTCGGCTGAGTTCAGCTGAATTCACTGCAAGCTGTTTTCTGTTGCTTCAGCCTTTCAAACATATGCTACTGCAGAGTACAATGGGCGCCATAGGGATAGCGTGGCAGAGGCTAGGATAGTAGGTGGACGGCAGAGGCTAGGGGTTGGAGGGAGACTCCACCGGTGCCCCCCGGTGGCCCCCCCCAATACCCGACCCTGCTGCAGGATAGGAATGGCAGAGTAGAGTGGATATGGGACGCGGGACCTGGTTTCCAACACTATGGCGTCACTTTCATTGATGTACTGTGTGGCAAAGATGTATTCATGGGACGCTGGACCCGGTTTCCAGCAGGTGTTGCTCCCCACCAATAGATGGAGCGGTCCGCTAGGCAAAGCCTCAATCCCGGTGGTTCTCTTACCACCACCAGGATAGAGGTCTTGCACGAGGGCCTTTCAAAAAAAAAAAAAAAAAAAAAAAAAAAAAAAAAAAAAAAAAAAAAAAAGAGAGAGAGAGAGAGAGAGAGAGAGAGAGAGAGAGAGAGAGAGGACAAGACGAAGGGATGCATAATCCGAGCAGTTCATGGCGGAAAAAAAAGTTGCCCATCTCTGTTCGCAACGTGCAATCCGATTCTGCCTCAAACACACGCTCACATACACCCACACACACACACAAACACACATTGTTTATCGCCACGGACATGGCGCCGGCGCACTGTGAACGGCAACGTGGTGCTCCACATGTGCTATCAAGCTAGCCCTGACCTGCTTGCCTAGATCTGTGCCATATGTGGGGTTGTCTTCAGCCATAACTTTGACGTTGAGGTCGGGCATACTTCGTTGCACTCGCCGCCGGCAGCCTCGCCGGCGACGGCCGTTGGGAGGTGGACCCCGACCATCACTGTCGCTGCCATCTCCCATGTCCGCAGGGTCGATCTCCACCATGTGTTCGATCATGAGGTTGTGCAGAATGCACACGGCCATGAATTCCTTGTGCAGGGTCTCGAAGTTAGTGATGTGTGTGCGGATGAAATTCCTCCACACGCTCATCAGACGTCTGAAAGTGCGCTCTATACAAGACCTGGCCGTTGTGTGGCACTCATCGTAGGTCCGGTCCGCTGGCGTTCTCCCAAATCTGCCCATTGGTGTCATGAGCAATGGCAGAACGGGTACCCTGCATCTCCCAACAGATACCACCCCACATGCATAAAGTCATGGAGAACAGCTCCTCCCGCTGAGCATGCCTCTCCCATTCCTGGTGTTGCGGTACAAGGGCGACATCCGCAAAGCACATGAGTCATGCACGGACCCAGGACAACCGACAAACACACTGACTATCCTGCACTCATAGTCGCATACGACCTGTGCGACCACATAAAAGTCTCCAGTGTGATGGTAGTAGCACTCGGAATGGGTTCTCTTCGGCTTGTCGACGTAGATGTGCGTGCAGTTGATTGCCCCCACGCACCCTGCAAACCCCTTCGCCTCGAATGCGTTTTGAATGTCTTGAAGACGACGTCCTGTCGAAAACTGCAGGAGATGGCCGTACTCGTGGATGATAGCATCAACCACGTCTTCATTGCTTCTCAACGCAATGGCGAGCCCTATACCCAAACTGTGGCCGGATTGCCTGTAGTACCCGCTTGTCGCCCACCTCATCAATGCACAGACAAACTTCTGACCGGCAGGAATGGGCAACCGAAAATTCGTCGGCGAACGCTGGATATGTGGGCCAATTCATTGGAGAACTTCGAAGAACAACGGCCGTGGGAGTCTGCAAGAACCGCAAGAACATCTCGTGCTCTGCTCCCTGTCGCTGCAGGTCATTCCAAAGACCTCCACTGCGCTCCACCACCCACAGTCGTCGTCTTCGTGTCATGCGTCTCCCCAGCTCCTGTGCCGCCAGACAGCTCAGAGCCATGCCGTGAAGCAGTCCACCAGCAAGCATCGCCATGGTCCCCGACGTGTCCTGGAAGAGAAAAGGAGTCATGGCGACAGCTTCAAGGACGGCCATGGCCACTGCACTACGCCTGTTGACCCAGTGGGTCATTATGAAAACGAACATGAAGAGCATGTCTTCCCACTCGTCTTCCAAACAGGCCACCGATGAAGGATTCATGGTTTCCATGGCACAATACAGGGAAGGCGTTCCCAACGTAGACACATACGTGTCCGGCAAACGTTGCACACCCACAACCTTTGCCCAAACACAAAAAGAAACACCTCTCCCAGACCTAGTACATCTTCCTTCTTCACCTGCGGGTCGTCATCATCCCCCTCTCGCCCCTCCCCGTCGTTGCCCGGAGACCTGCCGTCCCACTTCGCGCACGTCCCAGCGTCCAGACAGTGCCAACAGCAGGATGGGAAACCCAACCCATGGCCCCAACGGTCATTTCATTGCCCGTACGTGCACCACCGTGCGGGAGCGACCGATAAGCAGCCTGTGTATCGCATGGCACCTGTTCGACACATGTCACACCGCGTCACACACAGCCACATACGGACATGTCCTGGTACAGGCACAACGGAAGGCCATGGACCGGTGCCCCTACCGAACTTTCCTTTTTTGGATCCGACCTTCCAAGTTTCCCTATTCGGGTAAGTGCGGCCGTTTCCAATGCCAAAGTTTGCGGTCGCGGTGGGGTACCAACAAAATCTGCCAAACACGTTCCAACGACGGTGGGCCGTTTTTTTTGGCCTCGCTGGTTTTCCAGCCGCCGGCCAGTGGGGTCCACCTCTCAGTCATGACTGTCCACATTATGACAGGAAATCCTTTTTTTTTTTTTTTTTTTTTTTTTTTTTTACATGAAATCCCTACTGTTGTCCGTTTAAACTTTGAAATTTGAATTGACAACACTTCTTATTGAGGAACAGCTTCTGATTTCCTAGAGTACAAGTAATCCGTTCACATGTTCACAATACTCTTCGTAAATAGCACACCGCAAAGCAATTCGAGTTAAACCACCAGTACTTGGCCCAGCTATCGAAGCCGAACCTCCCAGCCCCCTGCGCGCCAAGTCCTACCGAACCGCCGTCGATCTTTTTTGTTTACATTTTGGCTGTGGCCTCCAGCCAATGCGGTCCGGTAGGCCGAAGGCCGAATGTCGCGGCACGTTAACGGGGAAACGCCGCGGCCGATAGCTGGGCCAAGTACTGGTGGTTTAATCAACTGATCGAGAGGCGACCAACAACTCCGCCTGGTGGTTGGGTACCCAATGGAAATCGCTGGTGGCATGTTGCTTCTTTTTTTTTCAGCGCGCAGGGCGAAATTAAGCTCAGCGCTGGGCTATTTGCCCTCTCGGGTGGGCGTCCCCAGAGTCCAGACAGGCACAGGGCCCAGGGCTCGCCAGAGTCCGCCCGGGTGGCCTGATTTTTTTGAACTATTGTCTTCAGAGGGCATAACTGTTCTGCGCTCATTGACAGCATGGAGAATCCACTCTCAAACTGCTAAATAGTGACTGCCCTTCCTGGGGGGTTGCAGGGTGGGAGGGGGTGGTGTTTTGGCTGCAGTACTGCACTGCCTGCCCGTGGGAGGAGGAAGGAGATAGCAGCAGGAGGCTGAAGGAGACGGCAGGAGGGGAGCAAGAAGATGGCAGGAGGAGGAGATAGCAGGGTGGTGGGGACGCACGTGAATGGCCAAAAAAAGAAAACACGTCGTGGGAGTGGGAGAAATATTGTGAGAGGAGTAGGGGATGAGAAAGCCAGGCGTGTGGAATGTGGCATGCGCCAACTCTCTCTCTCTCTCTCTCTCTCTCTCTCTCTCTCTCTCTCTCTCTCTCTC